GTTACTTTCACTAATTCTTCTTCTTCTTCTTCTTCTTCTTCTTCTTCTTCTTCTTCTTCTTCTTCTTCTTCGTCGTCGTCGTCGTCGTCGTCGTCGTCGTCGTCTTTTTGTTGTAACTTAGAGAAAGTTACTGAATGAGGAATAACCAAACAGAGGTTTGAAATGAAATGGTAATCTTTATAACATCAACAAAATACAATACTTGCCAGTGGCGTGAAGTATGTAAACCACTCTTAGCGGTGGACTACTTGGCCAGCATATTACCCCCACTTATAATAGTGTCCAACGTAATTATAACGATTGGAACGTACCCATTAGTGTTCATAGGTACGGTATATAACAATAATGATCAAAACCCTTGAAAAAAATCGTGAGAAACAGAAAGTGTAGTGCTAGTGAAGTCGACATAAATTAGAAAGCAGATCAAGAGATAAAAGAAAACTGATGGTTTGAAGACAAGGGAAAAGTTTGGTTGATTTGTTTCTAATAGATAACATATGCAGTATAAGAGGAAACAAAATGGAATGCTAAGATATAGGTTTGTAAAATGTCTTTATCTAGCAATGGACTCAGAATCGGTGACGTTGATAATGATGCGATAATTATCTGCGATTTCTCTGTTGCTAAAAGTCAGTGATCAAATCAAAGAAAAATCAATTAGCTTTGGACTGCAGTAAGTTAAGCTAACCACATATAAATGTATGGCTCTTTGATTGTAGAGATTTGCCATTTTTCTGGAAGAAAATCTGACATTTTCACGATGTGGTAAGTATCATACCATTAAATTCTCTTATTATAAAGGCTTTCTCTATTAATAAACTTTTTTTTTGTATTTTCTGTTATTGGGAGAGCAAGTTAAACAAGTGGAAACCAGATATTCGACGATTCGACATGAAACCAAACTTTTTTAAAATCCTTTAGCCTTTCGGACATTATTTATATTGTTAGAACAAGACTCGGTTTTCTGTCGAAAATGTCTGCGAGTTTGGAAGTCGGCGCCATTCGGACATTAATTCAATGACTCATAAGAACATCCCACTTCCGAAAAGCTTCGATTACGACCCGTTGTACACAGTGGCAGAGAGTAAATTGTGATTTGTAATATACTCGGTTTTAGCATGTTTAACAGCTTGGAAAATTACCAATAAGTTTATTTCTCAGTTCTTTTACTAATCAGCTACTATGCAGCCATAGTCAACAATGTATATAAGTCATATAGGGAAAGATATAACACATTACTAAATAGGAAGACACAGATGTGCTTTACATTAAAGACAAAAAAATGGTCAACATTGAGCCGCTTTCTGCAAAAGACAAAAATGTAGCTACTGGCTAGACTCAAAGCCTAGACATAGGTTTGTTGATGGCGGTATATTGGCACGCAAACAGATATTGAATGACGGAAGACAAGACACAAAAGGAAATCGTGAGTAAAAAAAAAAATATGTATTGCCAAGTTTATTTTCGTTGAACAATCATCGACAAAAATAATGTTATGGTGTACGCAGCAAAAAATCACTCTGCAATGTTCATGTAGAGGAAGTTGAAGAGTATTTTTGTGAGTAGAACAATTGTGTAGTAGTTAAGAAGTGCTGTCCTAAAAAGGACATTTTTGTAGCCGTTGAGAATTGTTGCCCTGAAAAAGACAGTTTTATGGTTTTTTGACAAGTATTGTCACGTAGTTGTTGAAAGTTGTTGTCCCGAAAAGGACAGTTTTATAGATGATGAGAAGTGTTGGCCTGAATAGGACATTTTCACAGTAATTAGAAAATGTTGTCCTGAAAAGGACACTTTTACAGTAGTTAACAAGTGTTGTCCTGTAGAAGGAAAATGTTGTAGTAGTTGAAAAGTGTTGTCACGAAAATAAGAGTTTTATAGTTTTCGAAAAGAGTTGTCCTGAAAAGGACAGTATTGTAGTTATTGATAATTGTTGTCCCGAAACTGACACTTTTATAGTTTTTGACAAGTGTTGTCGTGAAAAGGACAGTTTTATAGTTGTTGAAAAGAGTTGTCCTGAAAAAGGACACTTTTTTTAGTCGTTGAAAAGAGTTGATCTAAAAGGGACAGTGTTGTACTTGTTGAAAAGTGTTAACCTGAAAAAGAACAGTTTTGTAATTGTTGAAAGGTGTTCTACTGAAAGGGATGGCTTTGTAATTTTTTAAAAGTGTTGTCCCGTAAAGGACACGTTTATACTTTTTGATAAGTATTGTCATGAAAAAGTCAGTTTTGTTGTTGAAAAGTGTTGACTTGCAGTTATTGAAAAGTGTGGACCTGAAAAAGGACAGTTTTTACATTCTGAAAAGTGTTGTCCTGAAAAGGACAGTTTTATAGTTGTTGAAAAAGTGTGGACCTGAAAAAGGAGTTTTGTACTTGTTGAAAAGTGTTGACTTGAAAAAGATAGTTTTATAGTTGTTGACAAGTGTTGTCCTGAAATAGGACAGAGTTGTAGTTGTTGAAAAGAGCTGACAGTGACAAGGAAGGACAGTGTTGCAGTTATTGAAAAGTGTGGACCTGAAAAAAGACAGTTTTGTACTTGTGGAAAAGTGTTGTCCTGAAAAGGACAGTTTTATAGTTGTTGAAAAAGTGTTTTCCTGAAAAGGACAGATTATCGCTTATAGTTACGACTGACAAGGACGTTTGCTTGAACCTGGAGAATGTCTGACTAGAGCTGTGGCTGATGATGGTGGTTGACTGAAACTGCTGCTACCTGGAACTTTGGTCCAACTGTCTGCTGTTGGAATATATACTACACTTTGTTCCTAGCATTGTGTACGCTGATAGTCGGTTTTGTCGCCTCTCTATATGCTGAATCAATATTAAAACAGTCACTGGTCCTGGTTTCTTATTCCGCTTGTTTTTCTTTTTTAATAATGTGTAAGTGTCGACAGGATACGACAGGTTTGCGCTAAATCTGCTCCACTCTCGCTTAAATTAAATAAGATGTTCAGTTCGAATTTCCCTGAACGTTGCTCAGATCGGCACATAGCTGAAGAAGCCCGGGGGGCGGAGCAGCCAAAACACTGTGATAACAACAACGAAGATGTGGACAATAGTCCACCTGTAAATAATGCAAACATCAGTAAGGATATGCAGTCATTTTCTGACATCAGAAATGAACTAGATACTCCATAAAAAGACGGTCTTAATTATATACTACATGTATACTACAAATATACTACATCGTTTGGAACGGGCTCGCTTCTAGATCCTTTCACGCGAACGCGAGTGTTCTCCAAGGCTCTATCCTGGGTCCTCTCAAGTAGGCATTTATGCTGAAGACACTACCATTTACTCCTGTCTCAATAGCAAATCCGTCAGGGTTGACAAAGTCAACCTGGCCGCTGCTCTCGAATCAAACAATGGTAAACTGGGACAGGAAATGGCTTATGAATTTTAATGCCTCCAAAACCTGACTGTTCTCATTTAACCACCATAGGGAATATTTGGTGTCCACCATCAGCATGGCTGATGCTAAACTCCTGAAGAGCAATAAACTGCGCCTTCTTAGCTTCACGACTTGAAGTTGAACGCCTACGTCGAATCAATAGCTGCATCTACTGCAAGGAAAATTAGCTGACTGTGTCGTGCCGGAAGGTTTTTCTCGCCGGACTCCATTTTTCGCATTTAGAAATCTGTCATTCGTCCACGGATCGAATACTGTTGTCATATGTGGCCAGGTGCTCCTGCTACTCATCTCGAGGTGCTTGACAAAATCCAAAGAACCAGTCTTGACTTGGTATCTCGACTTCAGTCACATTCTCACTGACGTCACATTGCTTCCCCTTTGTTACAACTATTTTCTACTCCAACAGCTTCTTTTCTCGCATTTCCAGCCTGTGGAACCTCTGTTTCCTTGCTGTTCTGAAAACTAAAATTTTCAAAATTTAAATGCAACGTCAATCGTCATCTTCTGTTTTCTTGAATCCCGTTCAGCTTTTATCCGTTCCTCTGTCTCCTGTATACCAAGTCATTTCTCTCTACTTCACTATCTGTAACCACCCTGCATACTTCTTGCTTGAGGTAAAATAATTAAAAAAAAAATAATACATATACACTACATATACTACAAATGAGGTCGGGCACTTCGCTGCGGTGTAATGGTTAACAAGCTTGTCTCGCTAGAACAATTATGACTGTGTAGTGAGTTTGATCCTACCTAGGTTGCCCATACTTTCAACTTTGTGCCACATCTAAGCTATGCTTGAAAAATTAATATACTTCAATGTGGTTAAAACTTTAGCAGGGTCAGTATTTAATGCCATTCTTGCGGACCGAATAAACTACATTATTTTTTTTAATCATTTCACCCCAAGCAAGGCCTCTAAAATGCAAAGGGGTCTACTGAGAGTAAAAGAAAATGAGAAACATTTAGAAGGAACCGGAAACCTAATCCTAAACAGGAAACAAATGATAAACCTCTATTCCCGTTCAAAAGATCAGAGAGGAGTGTGAACCGGGCGATAGGCAAACCTATCTACTCCTATGGTCTGAGTGATTTGCTTCATAATCTTAACTCGAGAGCAATCACCCAACTACCAAATTGTTCAATGTGGCACACTTAGCCAGTTTTATTCGGATGAAGTGGCACGACGCCATTTCCATATCACGTGACCTTCAAGCTTAATTTATGAATTCAGTATTAATCAAGACGTATTTATTTAAATTTTCACTCTCTGCTATTAAAGTAGAACAAAAGAAATGAAGGCGTAAACTCCAAGGGAAAGAAATGAAAAAAACGAAAAAAAAAAATTATTATTTTAAATTTTGAAAGGAAAAAAAAAAGAGAGAGGGTCACGAATCAAGGGAAAATAAACACATCCAGTTTATTGTGGCGAAAGACTCGAATAAAAGATGGCGAAGATTATTTGAATATTGCATGTTTTCCGCTTTAGCGAGGTGTCTGACCTTTCGGCACTTACTGGAACTTGTGAAGGAGGTCATTGACAGATGTATGACTGATTTGCGTGAGTTTTCTGTATAGTTCAGACCAGGTCGTCGGATTACGCCCATCCGGTGAAGGTATTTGTGGATAGGAGAATGCTTAAGAGAGAAATAAGATGAGTTTTTGGTTGAAGCGAAGGAGGCGGGGGACATGGAGTAGGAGGAATGGGGGGATAGTGAGGATGGGCATAGGAGGAGAAAAAACGTTCAGTTATGGAGGAATTCTGAAATTTCGTTAAATGTGAAGAGTAAGCGACGACTGAAGATTGGAAGATGATGATAAGTGTGAGGAGGAGGAGGAGGTTAAGAAAGAAAATAAAAGCAATAAAACGAGGAAGAGAATCTTGGTGAGAATAGATATTTATGCTTGGAGAGAGAGAGAGAAAGAAAGAGAAAGAGTGATCAGTGTGAGAGGTGTAATGGATAAATAAATAACGAGACATAGAGAAATTAGGAAGGAGAAAGAAAAACAGAAAGAAAAAAAGAGAGAAAGAAAGACAGAAAGAAAACAGGAAGCAAGAAAGACAAAAAAAAAGGGATAAAAAAGAAAGAGAGAAAGAAAAAGAAAGAAAGACAGAAAAATGGAAGAAAAAAGAAAGACAGAAAGAAAAAAGAGAAAAGAAAGAAAAAGGATACATGGAAAAATAGAAACAAACAGACAAAGCCAGAAAGAAAAATGAAAGAAAGAAAAAAGAAAAAGGAAGACGGAAAGAAAAAAGAAAGAAAACAGAAAGAAAAACAAACAAATAAAGAAATCCAGAATGAAGAAATAAAGACAAAGAAAAAGCAAGAAAAAGACAGATAATCGAATAATATATAGAAGGTAAATGAACAGGAAACAAAACAAAAAAGAAGAAAGAACGAAAGAAAGAAAAAAAGAATGACAGAAAGAATGAAAGAGAAAAAAAAAGAAAGAAAGAAGAAAGAAAGAAGCGAAGAGGCACTGGTTAAGAAATTAGCCACAAGAAAGAAAGAAAGAAAGAAAGAAAAAAGAAAGAAAGAAAGAAAGAAGCGAAGAGGCACTGGTTAAGAAATTAGCTAAAAGAAAGCAAGAAAGAAAGAAAGAAAGAAAGAAAGAAAGAAAGAAAGAAAGAAAGAAGCGAAGAGGCACTGGTTAAGAAATTAGCCACAAGAAAGAAAGAAAGAAAGAAAGAAAGAAAGAAAGAACGAAAGAAATAAAGAAAGAAGCGAAGAGGCACTGGTTAAGAAATTAGCTAAAAAAGAAAGCAAGAAAGAAAAGAAAGAAAGAAAGAAAGAAAGAAAGAAAGAAAAAAAAAGAAGCGAAGAGGCACTGGTTAAGAAATTAGCCACAAGAAAGAAAGAAAGAAAGAAAGAAAAAAAAGAAAGAAAGAAAAGAAACAAAAAAAGAAAGAAGGAAGAGGCACTGTTTAAGATATTAGCTAAAAGAAAGCAAGAAAGAAAGCAAGAAAGAAAGAAAGAAAGAAAGAAAGAAAGAAAGAAAGAAAGATGCGAAGAGGCACTGGTTAAGAAATTAGCCACAAGAAAGAAAGAAAGAAAGAAAGAAAGAAAGAAAGAAAGAAAGAAGCGAAGAGGCACTGGTTAAGAAATTAGCTAAAAAGAAAGCAAGAAAGAAAGAAAGAAAGAAAGAAAGAAAGAAAGAAAGAAAGAAAGAAAGGAAGAAAGAAAGATGCGAAGAGGCACTGGTTAAGAAATTAGCCACAAGAAAGAAAGAAAGAAAGAAAGAAAGAAAGAAAGAAAGAAAGAAAGAAAAAACGAAAGAAAGAAAGAAAGAAAGAAAGAAGCGAAGAGGCACTGGTTAAGAAATTAGCCACAAGAAAGAAAGAAAGAAAGAAAGAAAGAAAGAAAGAAAGAAAGAAAGAAAAAAAGAAAGAAAGAAAGAAAGAAAGAAGCGAAGAGGCACTGGTTAAGAAATTAGCCACAAGAAAGAAAGAAAGAAAGAAAGAAAGAAAGGAAGAAAGAAAGAAGCGAAGAGGCACTGGTTAAGAAATTAGCTAAAAGAAAGAAAGAAAGAAAGAAAGAAAGAAAGAAAGAAAGAAAGAAGCGAAGAGGTACTGGTTAAGAAATTACCCACAAGAAAAAAAGAAAGAAAGCGAAGAGGCACTTTTGATTAATAAAAAAGAAGAAAAAAAAGTAAGAAAGAAAAAAGGTAAAAGAAAGAAAGAAAGAAAGAAAGAAAGAAAGAAAAAAGAAAGAAAAATCAATATTGTCAGATTTACACCTCAAGATAGACCACCTAGAGAAAGCATGAGGCATGAAACTGACTTGCAATATCTGAGCTTTTCTACATGTCAGCACATATTCTAAGCATACAAGTTAGAATTATTATCAAAAAAAAAAAAAAAAGGACTCTGGATTGTTAAAAGAGGCCGAGATCATAATCCTAACCATTACATCAGATAAAAACACATCAAAATAGAAAATAGTGCTTCAAAGAAATTGTATTCAAAATCGACAGTAATTCAAACCGATCACAGGTAGATTTGTTAATCTAAGCATATCTACGCATCAACAATACAGTAAATCAAACGACAACTCCTTTTACACGTAGACTTCGTGAAGCCATCAACCCAGCCAAATCAATTAATTCCCACTCTCTATCAGCTGTAGATTATCCGACATAATCTTCTTTATGTACGGTGTCCCTTCAGGACGAAGGCGATCATGGATCTCGACTATTTCCTATCCTTCTTCTAGTCAAATGATACAAGAAAAATTGATCGTGTATGAACGTTTATGAAATGGCATTAAAAGAAATATATTTCTTAAAAGACCTTACGTAATTTTTTTCTAAAAAGATCTTAAACTTTAAAGTCAGTTTATTTTTAATTTGTTTGTATTTTTAATTAAAGACTATTGCTTACCCCTGCTCTGGGTAAATAAAAGTATAAACTGGGTTCTGTAGCCTTGGTGGCAATCGGGCAGGAGAAAGTAACGCTGAATTCAAGCCTAGCTATCAGTCAGTAATGTGCCATGCGTGATACACGCTTAGGCGATCATGTGTCTTTTCAATACATGACTGACGAGGCAGATTTTTTCCCGCAGTAGGTTGCCGTTTCTTTCTGTGGTAGACCAGTTTTCATCCAAGGGTAGAGAACACGGCTATTTACCCATCGTTGTGGGTGGGGGGCGAGAAGAAGATTCATACCTTTCCCAGGGATATTGAATGTAATGGATTCAACTGGAATTCGAACGCGGCTCTACGATTCCTCAATCCGAGCCTCTATCCATTATTCCACAATGCCTCCTACGTAGAGTATACTATATATCTAAAGATATACTATTAAAGCTAAAGAATGAGAGAAAAGATCCGAATATATAAAAGTTGCCTAATAGACATCGGCAAAGCAATTTCAAATTCCATCCTTCCCTCTAGGTCGACAGTAGTCGGGATCTTCGAGCCAATGACAACAATCCTTTCCTTAACGCAAGCACATACTATACAGCTAAAGAAGGGATCATTCGCACTGGCTCGATTATCCTGACTACAGATGGATATATTAGGATCTTTTGCCTCATTGATAGAAGTTTGTCTAAAATAAGTGTAACCTCTTTCCTTTTCTTGGCTATGGGTTAAATAGCAGTTCTCTTGCCTGATCTCTGAATTAAAAGCCATAGAAACAGCAAGAGGAAAACAGTTCACCATCTTTATGAAAAAGTAAAGGCATTTCAACAATAAAGAATAGAAATATGTCAGGATTTCATGATCACCTTTGTGTTGAATGACCGTGGCATTTTACTAATAGATTTTTTGTACCATATTCAAGGCTTTTACATACAGCACAAAAACAAGATTACTTCCCTTTGATTAATCTCGAATTTGTTGTAAAATAATTGGAAAAGAAAAATAGAAACATCATATGCCGCCTTATAAAAGAATTAAAAACAAAAACAAATAAAGACAAAATATTCACCAAAAGCATCAACAAATATTTTCTTATAATCAAGCAAACTGCATAATATATTCAACCGAAATATTCTCAAACCTAGTTATAACTGCACAGGCAATATACGAAAAATCATCCAAAAACAAACAGAAAAACCAGCAGTTCCTTGCGAACAACTACAACACCAAAATGCAGGACAAATTATAAAAGGCAACTGCCTACAAAATAACATAATACAAGAAGCCACAGTAACATAAAAAGGAAACAGAAAAAATATATAGAAATAACTGAAGGCAACAGGAAACAACTTTTCACACAAAATATTATTTAAAGACAAAACATGCTAATATCACAGTCCTTTCAAAGAATATATTGGAGCTCTAAAGCAAGTTAGAACACAGGAAAAATAGCACAGAAAATAAAGGTAGGTGCTCATTTCCAAATACAGACACAAAAATGAATTCCTAAACTAATTATCGTGGCCATAAAGAATAAAACATAAATTTATTAATCTTTATTTTAATTACCAAAACATAAAAAAAACATTAACATTATCAAGAGACAGTTAAAAATTCTAACATAATAACAGGACAGATTGAAAGCAAGTAAAATAGAGGATAGCAACGCATAACCTACTTAATGAGTTTGGGTAAATGGTTGGCAAAATAAAGCTTACGCGAGAAAAGACAAAAATTATTGAGAGCTTCAATGGATAGGAAGCTGTAGAGAGCCGTCGATAGTTTTGCTAGCATGAAGTAACAAATCATCTTGACGAAGGGTTTTGCGCGAACTGGTGTTGCTCAAACTGTTGATCATGAAAGATTATGCACGCTCTCCCAGAAACTGTAACAAAGATCCTCTCAGCAGAGGTGCAGTATAAATCGAAGGCGGACACACTACGTGTTGTACAAGCATAAATTTTTATGATCAGATTTGGTCATAGAGGTCTATTCAGAAAAGGAGAATAGACGGCAACTATATCCATACAAATCATTGGTCTGAAACGAATTTCATAGACTGCATTCTAATCATACGTTGATGGTCAATGAGTAAAACTGTGATCATTGTCTAAGCACGTCGATAGTATTACTATAGGTAGAAATGTCAATATATATATATATATATATATATATATATATATATATATATATATGTGTGTGTGTGTGTGTGTGTGTGTGTGTGTGTTTCATTAAATAATATAGACAAGTTTTGTCTATTTTAAGCAAAATCCTTTCAAGACGTCTGATAAGCTTAATAACTTTATCATTGAAAGATGAAAGAAAATCACCATGTTGATACATGTTTTATTCTTGATCCTTTCTAAGCTTTCGGTTTACATAAGCCATTATACATACATACATGCATATATATATATATATATATATATATATATATATATATATATGTTTGGTTAAAAAAAACTAGACATCTATATATATATATATATATATATATATATATATATGTCACTTCGTTAATTGGTGTTACATTCAGAAGCTCTACTCTAGAATTTCGTCAACGAACCTTTCTGCTATTGTTCCGTCCAATCATCAGGATATATCTGTCATTTTTTTTTTCGTTTTTGCTATTTTTATATTAAATTACAAATAATCTATAGAGTTTTTATTGTTGTAGGGTTGATTTTCTTCTTCTTTGTCTGCGTGCGTGTGTCTGTACGCCTGCATGTTTGTACGTGTGTATATATCGCTGTGAGTGCATACGTGTACGACTGTACTTGTGCACATGGGTAGAATGTCGTGATTATTTCTTCTCAGTCTGTCAAAATATGATGTAACAATGTTATTCCCGGTGTCACAGACAGAACTTATATTAAGGCTAATTTCCCTGCATATTATGGGTGTTTTCTAAGGTTTTAGAAAATATACGTATATTCCGTTTCTTTATTCATTTCTTGTCTAAACCATTATTTATTTTAATTATTTCTGAATTATTTTTTTAAATTTATGCCTACACACACACACACACACACACACACACACACACACACACATATATATATATATATATATATATATATATATATATATATATATATATATATGCAAATGTAAAAAAGAAGGAAGATTATGATTTCAGCGTTCAAAACATTAATCTAAAACAGGGCCCAATACAAAAGTAGAGCAATAAATATTTATTTATTATGCAATGTTACATGAGAACATGCATATACCCACTACAAAACTGTACATCTTGTTTCAACGTTAAAAAAATTAACATTTCCTTAAGTGGGAAATCACGATGCTATTAAAATATTTTATTCCGAAATGCTTTCGGGATTAAATATTTTAGTAGCGTTGTGATTTCCCACCTGATGAAACGTTAAGATTTTTTTTTTAACGCTGAAACAAGATGTACAGTTTTGTAGTGGTTATGTGCATGTTCTAATGTAACACTGCATAATCTATCTATCTATCTATCTATTTATATATATATATATATATATATATATATATATAATAGGGGTGTTAGAAGTAAATTGTCTGAACCATTTTTCCAACTGACCACGTATCAGAATTTATTTTGGAATTTCTTCTTGGTTTCTCCAAGAATATTCCAGCGCCTCCTCAAATAGATTTCTTTGAGATACGTATGTAATTGAACGGAAGTGAGATCTTTAAAGAGAAAGGGACTGGTTTAGATAGATAGATAGATAGATAGATAGATAGATAGATAGATAGATAGATAGATAGATAGAAAGGAAATAAAGTACTTGAAAGAAAAGGAATAATGAACTGACCGATAAGTCTATATACTAAACATCTAAAATAATGAAATGAAAATATAAAACTCGTTCAAACAAGGGGAAAGGAAATATATCACTGAATAAGATACGAAGTAAAAAGAATGTGTCTGAAGCGAGTAATTTCAGCGAAAGTGTCTGTATCAGAAGAAGAAATGAAAGAGAAAAGACCTATCTAAAATAGAGAGAGGGGGTGGAGAGAAAAAAGGAAATGTTTGTGTGTGTTGTGGGGGTGGGTAAGAACAACGGACCAGAAAGAGAGAGAAGATGGAAAAGAAAGACTCGATGCTTTATTTAATCGACCTGAATCAAAGTGATCGGATTACTTCCGGAAATTAACGAGGAATATATCGTCCATTGCCACTGGCCACCGGCCAGCGATTTATCCGCTGTCGAAGAACAAACTCATTTCTGCGCACTTCCGGGCGGAAACAGGCCTTTTATCATTTTAACTCGTGCATTCGTTGTCCAGAATAGAGTTCTGTACACTAACACTGAAAAAGAATGGGTCTACTAATGCATACACGTATATATATATATATATATATATATATATATATATATATATAGTGGCATCTATATATTCTGATCTTTGCTTATTCTAGCACAATGCTATGATGATGCGATACCCACTAAGGATCATTTTCTCTCCTCCGTAGAAATATTCTGTTAGATTAAATCATTTGGTCGAGGAGCTACATTGATATAAAGGAGCACTTTGACGTTGTGTTATGGTCAGCAAACTTCTCTCGCTAGATCGATTACGGGCGTATACTGAGTTCGATCCTCACTGGGTGCCGCATATTTTAGACCTTGTGCCACTTCTAAGCTACGCTCAGATAAAGTCACTGTCATTGCATTAATGAGTTGGTTCTGTAGTAATATCGACGAAAACGCAATCAATATGGGCTGGGCATATTTTTTTTTTTTTTTTTATCTGACCCGGGTGTACGAGCTCGGGTGACCCTCATCAATTCCAACCTTGTGTCACATCAGGTTGCTGTGGGGAGACGGGTCAATGCCTAAATATAAACACTGATATGCAAGGGTCGGAGAAATCGTAAAAACCGTACCAGTTATTTTTGGCAAAGTTTAACTTTAAGACCAGGCAAGAAAATATCCCCAAAACCACTTTTTTTTTCTTTTTTTCTTAAGCGTTTCACCCTAAGCAAGGCGGAAGATCCACTAGGAAGCAGGGCGTTACAAAAAGAGAAAATGGGGGAAAAACTGCATATAGAGGGGATTGAGGAAAGGATAAAAGAAAAACAGTGATCACGGCAACAGATGGCGATTGACGTTGCATTTAAATTTTTGAAGATTGTAAGAAGGTAGCAAAGAAGAGCGAGAAGGGACTACACATAAAATACAAGAAGACAGAATGCAGGGTGATAAGCAAAGAGATGAGACCGAAATGCAATTTGAAGGTCGGGTACACTATAATCAAGCAGGTGCAGGAATTTAAATACCCGGGAAGTGTTCTGACAGAGGACAGTAAGTGCGACACTGAGACCCAAAGACGTATTGGGATGGCCAATGACACATTCCATAAGCTGGGCAGAGTAATACGATACAGAAGGGTTTCGTTGGTACCAAAGAAAAGAGTACTGAACTGCTACGTGACATCACTCCTTCTTTATGGTAGGACGGTCTCCTCAAGGACGAAGAAGAGACTCGAGTTAACAGAGATGTGGTTCTTCAGAAGGATGCTACGGTTACAATGGATCAAGCATGGGAACAACGATGAGGTTTTGGAGAAGATGCAAACAAAGAGTAAACATATACTTTACATCAGGAAGAGTCAGCTAAAACTTCTGGGACACGTAATGAAAAAGAACGGCTTGGAAATTTTGATACTCACAGGGCGGATAGAGGGACAGGGGAAAGCAACGTGTGACATACTTAAAGGGCTTAAGCAAGTGGATGGCAGAACAGTGTCTGGGAGAAAGAACTAAAAGACAAAAATTATAGAGAGCTACAAGCGACAGCAGGAGGTGGAGAGCCATGATTGCCTAAGTAAAAGAAGAAGAAAGAAGTTATCAGGGAAGCAACTAAATGGAAGACAGTTCTACTGTCGGGAAGCACAAGCAAAGAAACTGCTGGAGCAGAAGTGGTGGTTGCATTTAACTATTTCAACAGTAAAAAGGTGGGACCTAGATGCCAATCTAGTAGCACGCTGAAATCCATGTTGTTGGGGTACCATGAAAATATTTGTAGGAAAGACAAAAGTAAGCCACGTCATGTCTATGAGAAAGTGACTGAAGTCGAGTCGAGATGTCAAGTCAGGACCGATTGAAGATCCTTTTTTTGGATTTTGTCGAGAATCTCGAAATGAATAGCAGGAACACTTGACCAGATATGGCAATAATATTCAAGACCACTATTGTTGCAGATTGTATTAAAAAGCTATTAAAATAGGTTTTTCTTTTACGTGGTATACGAACTAATAGAGTGTTACCAAGAGTGGGCTCATTCCCAATCCAGCAGACGTTAACTGCTTTTTTACAGAAAAAAAAAAAAAACAAACTTTCGTAACATCTGTTCAGGATAATTATTACCCTTTTTTCAAGTTTCCAGTGTACTTTTTTAATACTCTCTCACTCCAACCTGAAGACGTCTGCCATAAGCAGGCGCATCGAAGTGTCGGAATAGTTTTTTTTGTCGGAAGTCAACTTCTGACGAGTAAGACCATCTCTTACACTCAAACTTTCTTAATATTTCACACATTTTAACATCACTTCGTCGCTGATGACATCTCAATATTTTCTTTAAGAACTGCAAGAGCCTTGTTGTTCTTTTCACATTGATGACAATCAAGTCTTTCTACTGGAGATTGGCTTTCTGGATGCTGGCTGTGGAAATACCGTGAGAGTCCACTGGCTGATCGACACACTTTATGGCAGATTGTACATGTATGGTCATCGGGGGGATGTCATATTTGTAGTTGACATGACAATGACTCCGCATGTGGGTGAGAAGATTTGCTTTTGTAAAGCAAATGCCGTCACATTAATCACATGTAAGAGACCCCTTCGACCCGCGTTCTGGGGGAGGGTTGACGCCTCTCATGTATCTGCCCGTACGTTGTTGCGGATATTCTATCCTGCTTCTCTAAAAATTCTTGCAAATCAAACTTTCCATATTTGCCGATCTGATGCAAGTTTTTTCCCCCAGATGTGTTTTATATATATATATATATATATATATATATATATATAAAATATAAAGAAAGAACAGTAAGATATTTAATCCGGTGTTCTTATAGATATTTTATTTTTACAAAATAGTGCTCAATGTAAATTTAAAGAGCATTAAATTAAATACGCTTGAGGATGAAATGGAACTAATATCTTTAATTTAATTACAAAATTAAATTCAGACTTTCAGCTTCCATTTTTGAAACATGGTTAGAACTGTGTAGCGAAAAAAAACCTA